AAGTACATTTGCCACTGAACTGCCTCCCCAGCTCTTTTTTAAAAAAAATTTTATTTTGAGACAGGGTCTTACTAAGCTTGTTACCAAAGCTGACCTTAAACTTGGGATCCTCCTTCCTCATCCTCCCAAGTCACTGGAATCACAGGCATATGCCATCACGCCCAACCTAAAACTTCCAGAAAGCAACTTGCATGTTATTGACCCTGAACTTACTAAATTGAAAACAGGTTTAGTTTACAAGAAGACATCGCATGTAAACATTGAATTGCTGGAAAAAATTTCCCACATGGAGTTTCCTGTGTATAATTGGAGGTTGTCCATCTATGACTAATGATAATATGTACAATATATTGATAAGCACATCAATATACTTAATCTTCCTATCATGTTGCCCTGAAAAATAATTTGGCTCCTCATTTAGAATTATTAACTTGTAAGTCAAAGTCTATCCTGACTCCAAGCTTTTCATTTTTCCTTATTTAATACCACATTGACTTATAGTTTCTTTCATTTTCATTTGAGCCATAGCTAACTGAAAATATTTTTGAGCATATAATTTTTATTTCCAAAGTCCCTCTTATGAACAAAACCCCCTCTGGCTTCTTTAACAAACACAAGTGATCCAGCATGCACTGCCACCACAGGACCAAGCTAAATCCAGCAAATACCCTTCTCCTTGCCCTTTCTAATCTGTCCCTCTTCCCCTGGGAGCCCCTCTGGCATTCCCCTCAAAAGGTTTAGTGAAAATAGACCAACTAGAAGGAACCAAATACCTGGTGTGTTTGTCATGTTGATTGAGACAGATTTTCCTGGAATAGAATCAGTTCAGTGGGAAGGAAGGGCCCATGTACTCTCCATTCTTGGTAGCTCAATTTCTCAATCTTCTGTTGCTGCAGTGTAGTTACTTCTTTGGATTTCAGGGTCCAGGTGTGACTTCTTCCTCCAGCTGTGTTTCCCAACAACTTCATGGTCTTTGCCTTCCAAGATGATGATGTACTCATTTTCTTTTTTTATTTTTTGACTTATTTTAAAAGTTCATTATAAAAAATTAGGAATAGATAATTTAAAACTAGTTATACCAAAATTCCCATACCCACCAATCAGTTTCAACTATTATCACTATTTATGATGCATTAAATTTTAGATGTTCCATTTGCTCTCTTATGAGCTTTGCCAGCCCTGGAAACAGACACCCATGAAAGCCTCTCTCCACTTCTAGCTTTGGTGGATCCAGTGCCTCCACACAACAGTTCCATCCCTTTCCTTTGAAAAAAAGAATTTCTAAGGATTACATTTTATTTTAGGAACATTTCAAACAAATATAAAGAAAAACAGAAACAATAACAAAATGAATTCCCATGAATTCATCAAATATATTCTTCATTTAACATAGAAGTATTTTTGAAGTTCATCCACGATGTAAAATGCATCAGTTATCCATTTCTTTTTCTTACTGAAAAGCATTTCACTGTGTGGATATACCACATTTTTGTATAGTCATTGAACAAGGACATGTGCATTGTCATCAGCTTTTGGCTGTCATGAGCATTGTGGCTATGAATAGTTGTGTACCTATCTTTTTGTGAATACATGCTCTCATTTCTCCTGGTTAGATTCCAAAGAGTGGAATTGCTGAGTCATATGGTAAGTGTATGTTAAACTTTTTAAGAAACTGCCAAATTGTTTTCCAAAGTAGCTACACCATTTATGTTCTCACCAACAATGTATGAGGGTTCTAAATTCTCCACATCCCTCCATAAGCCCATTAATATCCTACTCTGAGGAAACGTTTATCCAGGTTTTTTTTTTTTTTTAATAATTTTAGTTGTAGATGGACACAATGCCTTTACTTTATTTATTTATTTTTTCGTGGTGCCTTACATGTGCTAGGCAAGCGCTCTACCCCTGAGCTACAACCCATCCCTTATTAAAATCTTTTGTCCAATTGTTTATTTTGTTTGCTTTTTGTGGTGCTGGGGATTGAACCCAGAGTCTTGTACCTGTGAGGCAAGCACTCCACAAGTGCTACAAGCTATAACCCCAGCCCTCTTTTGCCCATTTTTAAATTGTGGTGTCTATCTTCTTTTGAGTTGTAAGCATTTGTTATATATTCCAAATCCAAGTCTTTAGAGATATTTACCTTCTCTGGGGAGAATGTCCTTTAACACATCCTGTCCTTTAACAAGTCTGGTTGTGATGGATGTTTTCAGCTTTGGAATGTCCAAAAGCAACTTTTATTTTGATTTCTTTTTTGAAACATATTTTGGCTACATATAAGATTCTAAATTGACATTTCATTGGTTTTTTGTTTTGTGTTTGTGTTTGTTGGTTTTGTGCCCCACCCCTCCCCTACTCACTGCAGCTTTCTCACTTCTCCCAGAGCTTGCTGCAGGGTTAGGCTCTAGTTCCCCAGAGTCTGCCCCCCAAGCTTCCCTTCCCAGTGTTCCTTGCGCTTCCCAAATACTTTCATGTGAGTCTCTGAATCAGGGTCTGCTTCAGGGGGATCTAAATTAAGATTATGCCGTTCCATATTCAGTCCCAGATATTTTTACTGGAGGGAAGTTTCTTAAATTAGTTTGTAGCCCTTATTCAATGTCATTGCTTTGGCTTTTTTCTTATTTTCCTACTACACGTATGTCGCTTCTTATTTTTATTGTTTATTCTCCTGAATTCCTTATCTCTTTCCTTCATTTCTTATGTTTTAAAAATCTTTCCTTCCTTTTGCCTATTTTTGTCTGTTATTATTTTGATATTCCATTTAGTTTAGTCATTTAAAATTATTTTTAAAATTGTAACCATTTATCATTCTGAAATGACTTTCCTTTATTTCTATTTCTTCAATAAGAATTTCAGTGAGTTTTGCCACTTTTTTAAGCCTTTTTCTCCAAACACTCCACTTCTTCTTCTTTTTTTTTTTTTTAATTCTTGTTTTGTTTTTCATAGCACTGTCTTGATTTCTCCTATCTACCTTATTTTGAAATTTGGGCTAGAGTTTTTATGCATTTTATGGATATATATATTTGGCATGGTTTCATGGTCCCATAGGGACTTTATTCAGCTTTTTATTTTCCCTTTTAATAATGGATCCTTTCTGATGTGCATTTTTTGTGTGAAATCAATTTTCCTGTACTTTCTTAAGTGAAGGTTAGGCCAGCAAGATTTTCTGTTGTACAGTTTCCCTTTTTGTTGTGGGTTTTTTTTTTTTTAAGTTATTGGAAATCTGCCTTCTCCAAGACAATCCTTCTATTGGAAGCTTCCTCCCCCAAGCCTTCCTTTTTTGCCGGGTGGTGGTGAGAGGGGCTGTTTGGGTTATTTTGTGTTCAGCAATCCCTTCCCCAGAATACCCACACTTAGGTCCCCTATTGCCGGGCTCTGTTTGGAAAGGGAGCTTTGGTTTAGTTTCATGAGATCATGGGCCTAAATATCTCACCCTTTTTAGATCTGGGTTCTTGGAGCTCACTCACAAATTGGAGCCTGCAAAAGTGCTGCCTGATGCAGAAGCTTTGCTCAGAATGGTCTTCTGAATTTTCCAGGGTGTGGCTGTTGGTGTTTGAGGGGTTCTTCTCTTCTCCAGCCCTGAGGATGTCTCACTCTTTCCCTCTGCATCTTTGTGTGCAGATGGCAGGGAAGTCAGAACCAAGGAAAAGCTCCAAGACCCATTTGAAAAGAAAAAAAAAATTGTCAGAAAAGACTGGTTATTACATCAAGAAATATTTGTAAATCTTAGGTGTAGAAAAGTTACAGTCCTACTTGAAAGGATGCTATTTAAACACAGAAGCAGGCTAATAATGATTTGAAAGTAAATAAAAAGCTGTAAACATGTATAAAAGAACATTTTTCCCTTCTCTTTATCACCTATAAGCTTATTTGTTCATTTTATGACATGTTTAGATAGAAACAATTAGATAATAAGTTTAAAGTTTCATCTTTACTTTTTGCTTAAACAGACTGAATATAGTCCAGTGAGATAGTTTACATTCTTCCATTTATATGAAGACTTGAAATCGAATGACTACTTTCCACTTTACAGCATATCTCAATCTACATGCTGAATTTTTATCAGAAATACGTGATGTGTCTTTGGGTTTCATAAAATTCACAGTTGATAAAGTAAATTCACATACTCAAGTTGTGCAAGCATACTAAAATGTTTCCCAATAACTGGATTGGGAGAATTACTTCTTAAATATAAATTAATTAAAATTGACTAAAATAGAAATTCAGTATCTGAGTGGAATTAACCACATTTGATGTTTGATGTGTTTAACAGTTATTTGGAGAAGCAGTTTCTAAACTGAACAGCTGTAGGAAGTAACTGCAAAGCTGGAGAACACAGATTATTTCAATTTTGTACTATTTGCATATATTGCTTATCTAAATAAATGAATAAATTGATTTCTTGGTTTAAAATAAACCGACAGTAAGTTTTAAAGCAATAAACAGTAAGTAATTAGGTCATGGAAATCACAAATACACCCCTACAGGATATATGGGGAGTGGGGAGCAGTTATCTTAATATTATACAAGTAAGTCTCTCATGACTTAGAATAAAATTCCCCTTGATAACATTCCATAAACACATTCCAAAAATACTGTATCACAAACAGCTTACTTGAAAGTAAAGATTATGTGCCTGGTAAAGCTGTATTTAACTAAAAAAAAATACAGGATCAGAGTGATAATGAAGATATAGGTATGTAAGGTAAACACAGCTTGAGTAGAATAATTTTATAAAATGGGAACAGAAAAAAATTTTCTGAATTCATATTTTATAGATTTGCTTTCAAATACATATATATGGACTTCAAAAATTAGATACCATAAATTTAAGCATATGCATATTTACAATGTGCTTAAAGTATATTTTATTTATTTCCATCCAAGTTTATAAGTGGAATCAGCCTATATTTTTTATAGTGTTTTGCTGGTTTTAATGTTGATATTATAGGCTTTAAGTACAGGAAGTGGGGCCCAAATAAAGCCCCTCCTTTTTTATTGAAATGGGGTATGTTATAGGAAAGTTAACACAGCTTTGTCTTAAATTCTACAACTTACCTGTGTTTGTGTGGTTATTACCATAGACAGGGTTTATAACCCTTCTTTAGCTAATTTTAATAAATGCATTCTTAGAAAAACTTTTCTTCACTGCCATTTATACAAAATATTCTATAATTTTTCAATCTCCATATATTTACTTTTGTTTCATTTCTAAGGACACTTTTTGTTTCATATCTTAGACACCTTTCTCAAAAGAAGGGTCTTAGAAATCTTGGGAAAAGTCAGGCATAGGGGTGTGCACCAGTAATCCCAGGAGGCTGAGGCAGGAAGATCACAAGTTCTAGGCCAGCTTACCAATTTAGCAAGACCCTCAGCAACTTAGTGAGACTCTGTCTCAAAATTTAAAAAAGAAAAATTGTTAAGGGGTTAGTGGTATAGCTCAATGGTAAAGTGGCCATGGGTTCAATCCCCAGTACCAAATAAAATAAAATAAAGGAAATCCTATAAAAGATAAAGCCCACTTGAAGAGGAGATGGACTAGGTTCCTGAATAAATAAGTGAAAAGAGGAAACTCATTTTGAAGAGTGCGTTATACCCAGGTGCGGGGAAATGGTGTCTCTTCCTAGTTTCCTTTTATTTATTTGTTTATTTTTAAGCTATTTTATAGTTGTCAATGGACCTTTATATTTGTTTACTTATATGCTGTGCTGAGAATCCAAACCTGTGCCTCACAGAGGTTAGGTAAGTGCTCTATCACTGAGCCACAACCCCAGAACCCTTTTCTTAGTTTCTTGAAGAAAAAGAGTGTGAAATGGAAGATCAGAAGAGGGAAGCACTGGCAAAGGCGCTGGGGTTAGGAAGGGTTGAAAGTCTGAGGCCAGAGAAGGAGAGTCAGACAGAACTGGGGAAACTGAAAGTCAAGGTAACTGAGTATAGAAAAGATTCCACTAGTAACTCATTTCCTACCAGGGACACAATAAATCTCACAAAAAGAGGGCAGAGCATTATTGCAAGCGGCTCAGCCCTTCAGAGTTCAGACCTGGGGTCCCTGTTTTCTGGATCCCAAGCCTGGTGGGAAGGCAAGCCTGGGAGACTCACAGCTGTGTTTCTGTTTTTTTTTTTTTTTTTCTCCTGAGGCGGGGGAACAGGTAATAGAAGTGTAACTGCCCCTTCTGTAATCTCTGCCCTGTAGCTATAGGAAAGAGTCATCATTCACCCTCGGACAACATGAAGAGTTGGAGGCTCTATTGAGCCAGACCATGATCCTAAATAATAACCTCCAGAGGGAGCCAGCTTTGAAACTCAACCTACAGGAGAAACCAGGAAAGGCTGGACCCTTTGAGGTGTGCTGGGTACGTCATCCAAACCACGTTGGAATATTCAGCCTGGAAATTCCCTCCTAACACAATAACATTCCTTTATCAAGTAGCTACTGAACTGGTACTGCAATCACATATTGGTCTCACTATCACGCACTTTCAAAGGTAGGGAAATTGAGGTTCAGAGGCAAATGAGGGTCAGAGAGATAGCAAGTACTGTAATTAATTGGAACTCCAGAAGAGTCTTTTCTTTTTGTTTCTTCTCTCTCTCTCTCTCTCTCTCTCTCTCACTGGGTGGTTTCACTATTTTGCCCAGGATGGTCTTGAGCTCATAGGCCCAAGGGATCCTCCTGCCTCTGTCTCCCAAGTAGCTGGGACTACAGGCACATGCCCCACACCCAGGCCACAGTTTTACTCCTAACCCTTGCACTACAGAACTCAAATAGAAGAAGGCTATCATCCAGACTGACTCCTTGGGTCGAGTCTTCTCCACAACACCTGTAGTCTGTTTATTCACAGCACTACCAATGGACAAGTGACTCCCTCCAACCTCTGAGTCCACCAAGGCCCATAACATGTCTGCCGAGTCTTCCTGATAATGGAGACTTTCTAAAATAAGCCTTAAAAGTCCCTGTTCAAATTCCTCACTTCTCCCTTCATCTCTGAGCTCCCTTCCTCTGAACCCCCAGCATAACCTCTACACCCTCTTTCTTTCCCTCCTCCTTTTCTGGGGTCCCTATCCTGACCCTCACGGTCCTCCCTCATGCCCACCTCTGCTGTCTCAGAACCTGGTGTCATGGTGAGTTGGAGAGGACATGAGGGTTATAATGCAGCTGTTTTCCCCCAGGAGAAGCCTCACACACCTTCATTAAGACACCACTATGTCCCCCTCCCCACACTCCAGTTTTAGTTCAGAAACAGGAGGTTCAAATCGAGGAAGCAGCAGTAGCAACAATAATAGTAACCACTAAAGCCACCAAACCAGATCCTTGCAGCTGAGAAGAATGTGTCCACCTCCCCCAGTCAATCCTTACTCTTTCTCTCCTGTGGCTCCAGGATTCTAGAACCCCCTTCCACCTCAGCCTGCAGGCCCTTCCAGTTGGTCAAGATACTATCTTCATGGAGTCCAACAAGACAGTCTCAAATGTAAGACCCTTAGTTGGAGTGGCTTGTGGACCCAGTTCCTGCCTTGTATTCTGATGCCTGTGACAGCCCAAATCCTAGAACTGTAGTTTTCCTGACAAGGGGAGACATCCAGCTCTTCCATCCACAGCCTGGATCAGTATCTTTCACCCACAAGGTTCCAATTAGAAGGACAGGGTTGCTCTCTCAGGACATTTGCTGGCCCAGCTGTTGTTCTATCTCCCAGGCAAACCTGGTCCAGTAGGACAAGCCAAGCCTTCGTAGCCTGCAGTCTATGAGATAGCCCAGGATTCCAGAACCCCTCCAGTGGGGTAGACTTTGCATTTCTCTGACCAAAGTGCTAACAAATAGCAGACCATTTAGAAAAGACATCTTGTTTTTTACATATGACTGTCTTCTTTCTTGATTTCAGTGAAAACATTGTAAAAACTAGAGTTTGTTTTTGTTGTTGTTGTTGTTGTTGTTGTTTGTTTGTTTTTCCCAAGTGTAGCTCAGCACTACTCAAATGAGTCCCTAAAGCTCTTCCTGGGGAGAGGCCTCCTAGTTGCCTAGAAGGACAATGAGACTCCGAAATTCCCTCTTCCTGAAACTATCTTAAACTTTTAAAGAGAGGAACAGTGGCATTAGGTGTCATTTACTTTGAATAAAAGAGAATTATAGACATATTTTATTTCTAATATTTAGTTTGGGGGCTCCCTAGAGGGGATTTTTAGTTAAAATGTGAGAGAAAAATCACCATTGCCATTAGTTTGGGGGCTTTTGTTAGGTTGTTGTTGTTGAGTGTGTGTGTGTTTGTTTCTGGGGATTGCATCTAAGGGTGATTTACCACTGAGCCACATCATCAGACTTTTTTATTTTTTATTTTGAGACAGGATCTCACCAGTTTCTAAATTGCTGGGGCTGGCTTCCTGCCTCAGTCTCCCAGTTGCTGGGATTATAGGTGTGCATCACAATATCCGGCATTAGTTTTAACATAGAATAAGAGTCCAGACATAGTAAAAAGTATGAAAACTATCATTCTTCTTTTGAAGAAGGGATGATAATCCAAGAAAACTGAAAAAATCAGAGTTAAGCTTTTAGAGTAATATTTCAACACATTTTCCAGCTACATGATCAACCCAAATAATCAGTAGCATTTCTCAACATTAGTAATAAGGAGATATATAGTAAAATAAGAACTTTTCAATAAATGATATATCTAGGAACTAAGAAAATTAAGATCTCTGGAGAAAACTTCAAAATTGGAAAAAGAAATAGAAAATGTTTTGAATAAAGGGCATTGGAAGTCATAAAATAATAAATTTAAGAGGATTGAAATATTCAAAGGATGTTTTCCAAACACAAGGAATAAAATGAGAAATCAATGGCAGAAGAAAATTGGGAAACTCACAAATATGTAAATATTAAAGAATATACTCCTAAATGACCAGTGAATTAAGAAAAAATCACAAGGAAAATCTTTGAAATAAATGAGAACAAAAGCACAACATGTCAAAACTCATGGGGTAAAGTAAATCATCACTTAGAAGGAAACTTACAGCTGCAAATTACCTTTAGACAGAAAAGGAGCTGACCTAATTATATTAAAACCTGTCAAATTAAACTTTAAGGCAAAACACTTTATTAGAAATAAAGTAAAATAGACATTAACAAAAGGAACATTTAGCCTGAAAAATATAATTATGAACTTGCAGATAGTTAATAACGTATACCTAAAATATATGAAGCAAAAGTTAACAAATTCTTGGAGAAACTTGATAAATACTTAACCATAATATAAAATTATCATACAACACTCTCAATAATTGATAGGTGAATAGATGAAAATTTAATCAGGATGAAAAAGATTTAACTACATAATTAATAAGTTTAATCTAATGGAAGTGTGCAGAGTTTACAGGTAGATTTCTACATACACATTCTTTTCAAGCACAAACTAGATCACAAAATAAATCTTAACAAACACAAATGAATCAATAACATGAAGACAGCACCCTTTGATCACAAGATAATAAAATTAAGAGAACTCTACCTCACTATTTAGAAATTAAAATCAATAAGATAATAAAATTAAGAGAAACTCACTTCTCTACTTAGAAATTAAAAATCAAAGAAGAAACAATAATTTAAATAGTCTAGTAACACAGATATTAAGACTAACCTGGGGCAGCATGTATTTGGAGAAATAGCAGAAATATTGGCTATAGCATGGTTCAGGCCTGGGACAGGGTCATTGGTCCTTAGGCTGTGAGAAGATTTTTTGTTTTTGTTTTTGTTTGGTTTTTCACTTTTGATTTTTCTTAATATACTTTATGTTTTAGAGCAGTTTTAGGTTCACAGCAAAATTGAGCAGAAGGTACAGAGAGTTCCTATATACATTCTACCCTTATTCACACAGCCTCCTGGACTATCAAGCTCTCCCATCAGAGTGGCATATTTATCATGATGAATATACAATGACACATCATTATCACTCAAAATCCATAGTTTACATTAGGTTTCACTGTTGGAGTTGTATATTCTGTGGGTTTGACAAATGCATAGTAACATGTAGTATCATAGAGGATAGTTTATAGTATCATATAGAATAGTTTCACTGCCAAAAAATTCTTTCCTCCACTTATTCATCCCTCCCTCCTCAAACTTCTGGCAACAACTGATCCTTTTACCATCCTCGTAGTTTTGCTTTCAAATCATTTCCACCTTTAAAAAATAGAAAAGAAAACTAAACCAAGTCCAAAGAGAGTAGGAAGAAAAAAATCCCCAAAGCAAAAATAAATGAAACAGAATAGAAAAAGCAATAGAGAAAAAAAATTGAACCCAAAAGCTAATTCTTTGACAAGATCAACAAAATGACAAACCTCTAGCTAGTCTGACCAAAAGAGAAGGAAGAGCAGAAAAATGAGAAGGAAGAGAAGGGGGAGGGAGAGAGGAAGATGATGAATCAAATTATTAGAATTAAAAATGAAAAAGGGGATTTTATATGCATATTACAGAAATAAAAAGCTAATATAACAGAATATTATGAACAACAATATGCTAACAGATAATTAGTGTAGATGAAATGAACAAATTCCTTAGAAGACAAATTATCAGATCTAATTCAACAAGAAATAGAAACACTAAGGCCATAACAAGCAGAGAAATTGAGTTAATAATCAAAAAAACTTCCCACAAAGAGAAGCCCAGACCCAATGTCTTCACTGCTAAATCCCACCAAATGCTTAAAGAAGAATTGACAACAATCCCTCACCAACTCTTTAAAAAAACAGAAAATGAGAGAATACTTCCTAACTCATCTTATGAGACCAGTAGCACCGCAACACAAAAACTGAACAGACACCGCAAGAAAATGACAGACTGATGTCTCTTCTGAATATAGATGCAAAAATCCTCAATAAAGCTGGGAGTGGTGGCACACTCCTGTAATCCCAGCGGTTCAGGAGACTGAAGCAGAAGGATCACAAGTTCAAAACCAGCCTCAGCAAAAACGAGGCAATAAGCAACTCAGTGAGACCCTGTCTCTAAATAAAACACAAAATAGGGCTGAGGTTGTACCTCAGTGGTCAAGTGCCCATGAGTTCAATCTCCAGTATCCATGCCACCCTCCCAAAAAAAAAATCCTCAATAAGATACTAACAAATAAATCCAGCAGCATATAGAAAAGATTATATACTACCACCAAGTGTTGAACCAAATGGAAGTTTGGTTCAACATGCAAAAGTTAATCTATACAATATTAATAGAATAAAACACAAAAGAACACATGATCATCTTAAAAGGCACAGAAAAAGTACCTGACAAAATCCCATACCCTTTCAGACACTCAACAAACTAAGACAATCAAACTCTTCTCCTTCAACCTGATAAAGGCCATCTTTAGAAATCCGCAGGTAACATCATACTGGTCAGTGAAAGACTGAATGCTTTCCCGCAAAGGTCAGGGACAAATCAGGGATGGCCCCTTTCACCTCTCTTGTTCAACATTGTGTTAGCCATTCTAGGGAAGACAAAAATCCTCCAGAAAGTAAAGAAAATAAAAATACCTCTGTTCACAGATGGCATTATCTTACACATAGAACTTCATTAGGAATCCACAAGAATAGTATAGAACTTATAAACACATTCATCAAAGTTTCAGAATACAAAATCCATCTTAGAAATTTTTACAATGTTCATCTACTAGTTTCTCATGCCAGGTAAGCTTATCCACATGGAAATACCTGCATGGAAGAATCCAATGGAGAGGAGAATGCATTGACTGTAATTTCAGTAGAATTTAATAAGACTGATTTTAGTTAAAATACTTTCAAGTTATAGCTAGCATTGTTGAGCCCTCTGTATGTAGGAGACATTATTCATGTGATTTATATGTCTCAAAGCATTATTACACATGGTCCCACCAAGTATTGTTATGCTCATTTCACAACTGGAAAAAGTGAGATAGAGTGTGGTTAAGTAATTTGGTCAAAGACACATATCTAGAAATTAGCAAAGATACTTTCCTCAGAATATGGCTAAATGTGTTTATTTGAAAAAGATCAGATAACACGAGACTGGGAGTTAGAAGAAAGAAGTGAGTCCTTCCTCTGCCTCCTCCACTAGAAAGTCATGGGACCTTGAACAAGCAATTTACCTTCTCTGCACCTCTGTCTCCTCATCTGCAAAAACAGAGTTGGAGCAAATGACATCTAAGCCTCCTACCACCTCGAGTTCTGTACTTTGGACTTATTCTACCCCTGATTTCTGAATTGCAAACTGCCTTCTCCAGCCACCTGGGAAAGGCAAGGGCCAGTAGAGAACAGCTGCTGACTAGTCATGACAAGAAATCGGAGAAACAGCAACAGGACAGCATGTCACTTGCACAAGTCACTGTTTCAGCCAGCCACTGGGCTTAGGTGAGAAACGTGGTTATAATTAGAGCAGCAGTCGGTGCTGAATGCTCCACCAGTCTCCTGGGGCACAGCTGGACCTGTCCACTGCACACACAGGACTCTGAGGCTGCTCTGGCTTTGAAATAATCCTGCAAAGGGTTTTTCTCTTTCCTCGAGGGAAAGAAAGCCCATTGAAATAGAACCCATTTCCTATTAGGTTTTCCCCTGCTAATGTCATTCCAGTAGAGACCAAGTGATGATACAGAGGGGGAAGGAAAAAGTCGTAAGCTGAGCCTGGTCACATTGCCCCTTGTGATATAGTTTTATTTTTAACTTCAAAACACTTGAACTATTTCTGTTTAAGTTTTCTCCCCTTCCCTGCCTTCCCAACAGAACTCTGTCCTCTGCTGCTGCGGATACACCCAGGTACCTCCCGGAGATCTGCTTGCTCACCATTGAGGGACACAGGAGCAGCAGATGCTGACTCAGCCTGCACTGTTAAGGTAAGCTCTTCAATCAGGGGCAGGTGTTCCATGGGGACATTCAGATGATGAACATGCAGACGGAGGCTTGCTGTGCATCACCTTTGTGCCTGAGGAAGTGGGTTGTTGATTAGATTCATTGTGTGTGGAGGGTTAGCCCCCAAGAATGAGACCCAACCATGTGTAAGCTGCAGTGTCAAATTTAAAATCTCAGAGCGGCTTAGAATCTAAACTGCTGATAGTCTAGGTTCTTTCTTCTACAATTAACCAGAAAAGTTATGTGATAGGGGGAGCAGGTGGTAAGTGCACAGGGGGAAAGCCCAGACCCAGAATTCCTATTTTCTAAAGTCCAATCGCTATGATCTTTTCTCCAATCAGCATTGTCTGTGTTCATTGCAAGTCATTCTCATGCAGCTTAAATTCCATCTACTGTATCACACTACCAGTTAATGCAACAGCTATACTTACTGCACGTACTATTTAAACTCTGTCTGCAGTAAGACTTGTTTTTCTCTTAACAATATTCCCTAAATGGGACTCTCTTCTCCCCCGGTCTCTTGAATCCAAAATGCATCCACGGAATATAAGTGAAAGTAGTGTACAAGTTAAAGCTTTATATAGGCTTATACATCCAAACCAAAAATTGTTACAAACTTGAGACTTGCACATCCAGAGGAACAACAGCAAAATGATTAAAGATACAGGCAGTACTAAAAGCTATAAAATACAGCTAGATTATTCGTGGCTTCTGGAATAACTGTATAGTGTTGCATGCACACACACACACACACACATACACCCCAAGGTAACAGAGCACTGTTTATTTTCTTGTATTTCTCTGGTTCAAAGTTCAGCTAAGGACATCCTGGGAAGTAGCTTATGCAGCAAAAGGGATTCTGTATACTAAACTTGGAAGTGTTCAGGTGAAAGCTAGCAATGCCAACTCAAAGGAGACCTAAAGCAACCACTCAGATACCCTAGTTTCTGGTTCCCTCTTGCCTGTCTTCTGTAACTTCCAGATATACTCATGACTCTGCACTAAGTGTCTGTGTTATAATTATGCCTGTTTGCTGGGCACAGTGAAATTCACCATGTATAATTGCTTAACTTCATTTAATTTTGCCAGGATTTCCATGGCACTAAATCTACAAAATGTATGCTGGGATGCCATCCCAGTGAGACTGGATTACGCTGATTTAGCAGTAATAGAAAGCCTTCATTCAGAGCCACCCCTAGATAATAGCCAATTAAACAACGAAGGAGATTAAAAGCAGAGAGATGTCTGGTGTAGGTGGAGAACTGTAGATTGTGAAGTTGTAGAGATCTGGGGAGAGTGGTTAGATTTTTAGGGTGTGGTGAAGTTAGTAGAAGCCTGAGGTTATGGAACCAGGTGTGGGAATCGTTCTCAGTCAACTGGATGTATAAAAAAAAAAATCTCAAGATGCAAAAGGATTACTTCAATGGTTAACTTTAAACATTTATTTTCCTAAAATTAAATATCTCCATAGCAGGGAAATAGGTTAATAATATATAATTAGAGTAATTCCTTGGCTGGTTAATAGGTTAAGAGTTAAAGTACATATCTTTGACCTTCAACTTTTAACCTTGTCACTTTCGCTGAAGTTGAAGCTCAGAAATAAATCATTATTACTAGGGCTAGCCACATGAGGAGGCAGAATAGTTAGTCACTGACATCATGTGAGGGGTGCTGAGAGGGCCCTTTGCCTAAAAATATCTCCCTGACATCAACTCTGTTTGCTACTAACTTCAAAATTATAGTAAAGAATGTTAAAACTATTATCTGCTAATCCCATTCTCTTTTGCTTGAGTCAGTGTTTAAAATACACCTGCTATACCTGCTATCATGACCTTCAATGAGTGACGCTTGGTCACCACCTTTGCCTCATTCTTCCAGGCTCTGTCCTACTCAGCCCTCAGTACCATGTAGGCTGCCCTTGACCACCACGGGGCAGGTAGCTTTGGGTGGTGCTGTTATTTCTCCAGACTCAATAACAGTATCACAGTGTAATAGAAAAGAAACATGTGATTAGACTCTGAGAGCAAGATAGTTTCCTTCTCTGAGTCTTCAATTCTCCTCTAAAAAATAAGGTGAAATTAGATCCTCTCCTTTCAAAGTGATTTCCTTGCACCATCAGCATTGTCTCAAGCTGATTATAGGAGACAGGCTCAGGCAGGCTTCACCCCAGTCCCACTGAATCAAAACCTGCACTTTAAAAAGATGGCCCCAGTGATTCCTAGTGGGAGAAGCTCTGGAGTAGAGGATTTCTTGTTATCTGCCTGGTCCACACTTCTGATGGTATGGCTGAAGTGGTTCAGAGAACAAGGTCCCGGTAATACCCTGGGAATAAGCCTGGCGGTGTTCAGTGTGTCTTTAACTCCAATCCACCGAAGCCTCTTCCACCTAAGCTAGTCAGTTCCACCCTTTTTTAAAAGCAACCCCAATTAGCATCACCACAATTTCTTCCTAAATTTGTTTCCAGTTGCTCTCACAGCTCTTTCAAAATGCTACTTTCTTTTAGGTTCTGTTTAATTCAACTTCATCCTATTCTGTAAACACTGATCGAGTGCTGGGTGCGGTAGCAGCAGCACCCACTCTCTGGCCCCTCAGAGCTCATGCAGCGTGTTCCTTGAGAGGCGATTGTGCCCGCCATTGACAGTCCAGTCAGAGCACCTTCCACTGCCTTGCTGCGCCTGCCAGTCTTGCAGGCCATATGAACCTCTTCCTGCTCCCAGCTTCCAACAACCTCCACCAGTCTCTGCTGCTGTAGCAGCTAATTACAAGAGAGAAGCCCAGTCTGACTGGCAACTTCCATTTTCCTTAATGAGCAGGAGAATGTAGGTAAACATTTAAACTTATACAAACTTGGGCCTAGGAAAGAAAAATGCCTTCAACTTGTCTTTGTGACATCTAAAAAGTTCCAGGCCTTCTGATGACAACAGCCCCCACCCCCCGGGGGGGAGGGGCAGTATCCCAGGCCTGAGCATACTATCTGAAATCATGAGCGCTTAAGGAATGCTTTGGGGGTGATTAAAGGAGCCCTGAGGATTATGGGGATTTACATTCTTAAAAGACCGAGGTAAGGTTATTTATTTATTTATTTTTTTAAATGGAGTTTGAAGATTATTAAGCTGGCAGTGTTACATAGGATACATTGGAGTAAGGGGCAACTGAAAATCGAAAGGCCAGCCAAGGGCCTCCAGAGCGATACAATGTGAAGAAATAAAGGCCTGAAGAGGGAGGTGACCAGGTGAGTGACTTTGTTTATCTTTGATGCTCATCCAATTCGATGGGTTATTATCAGCCCTATTTTATGGATGACTAAATTAGCTTTGGGGAGATTAAATAACTTGTCAAAAAGTACTTAGCTACTTCATGAGAGTATTGATTGATGTACTTTACATTGGAGGTGTCACATAAGCCTCTTTGTGGAAGTAATATGCAAGGTGATCTCTAAATAGAGAGAAGAAGCTTATAATGCAAATGAGAAAGAGGGGAGAATTCTCCCTGTAGAAAGACAAAGTGTGTGGGTCTCATGCTGGAGTAAGTCACAAGGTGGAGCCAAGTGCACAAGGGCAAGAGATGAGGTCAAAGGGCAGGAGACAGCTCTTACATGGCCTTGTGAACCATGACAAGGACTTCCACACTTTATTTCTTGTGATGGAATTGGATGGAGATTTTAAGCAGGAAAGTAATGACCTAATTTTATAAATTGTTAAATCACACTTTCTGCTGGCAAATATGGATTATGGGGTACAAATTAGGGGACTGCAACTGTTCATAACCTCATTATACTGGACTGAATGAGAGATCATGGTGCTTGGGCTTGGGCAGTGGTGGTGGTGGATATGGAATGATAGAATTACCCACCGACCTTCCCCATGAACTGGCAAGTAGTTCCTTTCTACCTGGAAGCACAATACCAAGCTGTTACAGCTCAGTGGTTCTCAAACTGGAGCTTCCATAGAATCAGCTGGATTCAGTAGATCTAGGGTAGGGCCTCAAATCTGCACTTCCAACCAGCTTCCAGGTGATACTGACGCTATTTGCCTGGGGACCACACTGTTTTTGCTAATCATTTTACTACGTTCTGAGTGGTCCACACAGCACTATGATCAGCATCACATCAAACTATTACCAGGTTCTAAATGCTCCCCTATTTCTTCAATGAAATATCCATTCCTTAAACTCACATAGCTGGTGCTCCCACAACTCCACTTCAGCTACATCCAATACACAGTAAAATCTAAGACCAGGTCTTTGGACTAATTTAAGTCTAAATTATGTTATTTTGACCATTGTCCCCTCTAGACAGAGGAACTTTAAAATTCATTTTAGGAGGGGGAAAGTATATTGATCATGTGCTTGACTGAAGTTTATTCGTAAGAGGATGGGATGCATTACCTTTTCAGTCTGGAAATGAGAATTCAAGGGGCTGAGGATGTGGCTCAAGCGGTAGCGCGCTCGCCTGGCATGCGTGCGGCCCAGGTTCGATCCTCAGCACCACATACAAAAAAAGATGTTGTGTCCGCCGAAAACTAAAAAATAAATATTAAAAAAAAGAGAGAATTCAAAGGTGAATATAAGAGCATAGAATTTGAAGGGCTCAGGCATAGATTTTTGTCAACTTTTTCACAGTAAAAAGTTTCTATCATCTGTGTGATTGATTTAGTATGTACTTCATTTTAAATTTCAGAATCCATATTTTAGTACATATTTTTAACACTAATCCCTTCCCTTTCACATCTGTGTTCCATGAAATGCAAAGCCATCAATCAGACCTAGATCCTCCTCTTGTTTCCTTTACTCAGAGGGGACATAATATGGGATAAGGTTTAGAGACATACCAAAACAAAATGAAAACTTCTCTACAGAGATGGAGATGGTTCCTAATGAAGAACACCTGGCTCAATAGGAATAGATCATATATGTGGCCACCATGCTGTGTCCCAACTCTAGCCATGGACTTGCATCCTCCCCAGACCAGTGAAATGGACTACATATGTCTCCGTAGGTCTCTGAACATTGTGTGATATAGCAAAGAGCATTGGGTTTGAAGTCCAACAAACCTAGGCTTCTTTTTGCATCAGTATCCTTGTGTGTAAACTGAAAATGGTAATACCCACCTCACCTAGTTGTTGTAAGGACTGAATGAGATGTTATGTAAAAGCACATGATATAAGCACCAAATTTTATTTCTCTTCCTCCACAACACCCAAAACACAGACACAAATATTTCACTCTAGAAAAGTCAGACAGACCTCATGGAGGAGAAGGATGCAGTCTCTATGCCCATTAAAACAAGATTAGGAGAACAGGTCATCTTATGTCACAAGGCAACCAATGATATATCTAATTTAATTAACTTGAGGTAACACTGATCTACTCCAACTTAAGGTGAGCAATCAACTATTTAAATCCTGGGATGTGGGACTTTTAAATGCTGAACCTAGGGAGTCCCAGGCAAACCAGCAATAATTAGACTGTCAGGTACTCCAGATCGGTCCTTATCTCAGTGGGAATAATTTCCCCAGATACACAATGAAAGGTTCAGATGTGATTTTTACGCTCTTTGGCTCTATTTGTCTCTCTCCTTCTTTCTACTGCCAAACTTCTCCAGAATAGCCTCCACCCACCATTCTTTCTGCTCAGCACATGTCTTCTCTCAAAGTCACTCATCTGGATGTAGCTCTGGAACCTGAAAGAGGATCTTTAAATAGCAGCATTAAAAGCAGTGGGGGAGGGTCGTTTTTTCTGTGCCAGCATGCATTGTTTTCTCTTAAAGGAATATTTCCAAATAACTTCACAGGGATGGAAAGCATTAAACCTATCCCACAAATGTTCCCACTTTAATAACACTATTCCCAGGAACCATACTCCATAATACTGAAGGCCAAGAAGGGATTGTGTCCCTCCAACCAGACATATCCCTGCTGCGAGGGCCGAGTTTGCATAGGTAGCGCACTGAACTAGCCAAGCCCTTCTTTTCTCTTCCCAGGAACTGAGCTCCACTTCATTACACAGCAAGCTGGCAGATAGGAAGCCAGATACTGCTGACGCTGGGATCTTTTTTCACATAGTCCTATTCCACTTGTGATCTGCCTCTTCTTTCCCACCTGAAAGCCAGAAGGAGCCCCTGAATTTTCCAGACTCCTTCTTTTATTCACAAGTTGCTTTTCTGCAGAAAGCTGATGGTCACATTCTCTCAGCCAGGTCACGGGCCTGCCTGTCTTGCACTATGTGCTTAACAGCTTTCCCCTCCCTCTGAGCAAATGCCACATTTCAAATGGCTCAAGGTCCCACAGCTGAAATACCACATTTACTCTGGCAAAAGCTCTTTGGGGACCTCCCATAAGCGGTGGCAATGTTGTCATTGTTCTTAATTTTGCAGTAGCACTTGAGGCATGCCCACCCCTGCCTTTATATCTGTGACAATATCGTTCTGACTTGCTGAGCTCTCTCCTCTGGCTCTACTTCTTCCTAATGTGCCCCAAAGTGGTCACACATGGCCATGTATGCCATGGCTCACATACCTATTCTGGTGTTCTCACTTCCTTAGGCAGTGCTTCCCCTCTCACTTTTAAGTGGATAAGTTCTCAAATCTGCATCACTGTATTCCAGTCCCTCATCTTCCCATCCCCATGATCTACCAGTATCTCAAGCAACTTGTATTACCGTTGCTGGACCCGTCTTTCTTCCAAGGATGGTTTCCTCTCAGACCTCTATTTTTCTCAAAATTATAGCCAATATTCTCCCTTTCTCATTCAAAAATTTGGTATCAACTTTGTCTCTTCTTTCCCCATCTCTAGCATGGAACAAAAATATGATTCCTTCTTTGTAATATTTCCTGTCTGCCTGTTTTCAATATCACCCATAAAATCTTCCATCACGTTCTCTAAAAAGCATTTTCTAACTGCAGATCCTCCTGCTCCACTCATCCCTCCACTGCTCTCAGTCAACACCCAAATTAGAACAGGAGCCATTTTAGGCTCCCTGTGGAGTATCAAATAATTCCAGATTTTTAAGTCTAATATTTAATAATTTCCAAAATAAGTCCACAATTTTTCCCCTAGAAGTGAGCTGAGGTATGGCAAGAGTGTTAAATGATCAGTAGCTGGATTCTTGCATCCAGAATATGTGCTCCTTTCTTGAACATATTATATTCCATTTCAGGTTATCTTAGTTAATTTTGATTGTATAATAAAATACCATAGACCAGGTGGCTTATAAACAACAGAAATTTATCTCTCACAGTTCTGGAGACTGGGAAGTCCAAGACAAAGATGCTAACTATGTTTGGTGAAGGCTTGCACACTGGTTCATAATCTTCTTGCTCCATGTTCATATGGCATAAAAGACAAGGAACCTGTCAGGCTTCTTTTATGAGGGCACTAATTCCATTCATGAAGGCTCTGCCCTCATAATTAATCACCTCTGGGAAACCCCACCTCCAAAGAGCCTCACATTATGGATAAGATGGCAACATACGAATTTGGGGGAACACAAACATTCAGACGATAGCACAGTCCATTTCCCTCAAGCTTCCCGCTATGTTTGTTCAGCTCCTTCTCCGATTCTCACACCTTGGTCTGTCTTCCATTGGATCCTGAACCTATTTGAGGATCTGTCCTGTGGCTTCTCACCTGCCCTGACTCTGGATGATTAGGTGGAAAGAGCACTGCAGCATAGTCCCTTTTTCATGATCACTTGGTGGGCCTAGTTGGGGTTCTCATTAATAAGAACAGGGTTCTCATTAATGTGCATTAGAATCATATGTGGTTGGGTGCAATGGTGCATGCCTCTAATCCCAGTGACTTGGGAGGCTGAAGCAGGTGAATCACAAATTCAAAGTCAGCTTCAGCAACTTAGTGAGGACCTAAGCAACTTAGAGACAGACCCTATCTCAAAAGAAAAAAATTAAAAAGGCTGGTGGGAACATCACCAGTTAAACATCTCTGGGTTCAATACCTGCTATGAAAATCATCATCATTGTCATCATTACATGGGCAGGGTGTTAAGATTGTAAATTCCAGTACACACCCCGAATTTGGTGGCCAGAACCCACAGCAGCACTATCTAATAGAACTTTCCACAAAGATGGAAACATTCTGTGTTGTCCAATAGAGTGACTACCAGCCAGATGTGGAGAATAAGCACTTACAATACGGCTAGCATGACTGAGGAACTGAATCATTCATTGTGTTTTATTTTGATTTATTTAAATTTAAATAGCCATATCTGGTTGACAGTTTTGAACATTGCAGATCTATATGAGTCAGATCTATACACATCACAACTGATTCTAACGAAAATAGTATCTAAGGTTCACTTTGACAAGCAGTCCAGGTAACTCATACTCCTTACCGGCACATGGCAGGTAATCAACAAATGTTTATTGAATGCATGGATGAACAAGTGAATAAACAATGAACCAGACTATAGTTTTCTTGAGATTTAAGACTGTCACTCCTTAAAAGGAAAACCTGAAGGGACAGTTTCAGACAAAAGAGGCTAAAAAGACTTAACCAAATGCAATAAATGGGCCTTGAAAGGATCCTTGTTCAAAAATTAAACATTAAAAAAATTAAAAATTGGGTTGGGGACGTGGCTCAAGCGGTAGCGTGCTTGCCTGGCATGCGCGGGGCGCTGGGTTCGATTCTCAGCACCACATAAAAATAAAGATGTTGTGTCCACTGAAAACTAAAAAATAAATATTAAAAAATTCTTTCTCTCTCTCTCTCTCTCTTTAAAAAAATTAAAAATTATGGAAAACATTTTTGGAACAACTAGGGAATTAGTAATATAAACAACATGTGACATGACATTAATAAATAAATTTTAGTTTTCTTAAACAATGTAAAAATTACCAAAGAAAATGTCTTCATTCTTGGAAATGCATGCTGAGTACTTAGGAATGAAATGTCATGATATCTTATTTTCAGTCAAAATGTTTATGAGAGAGAGAAAGAGAAGAAGGGGAGAGAAAAATGGTAAAATGTTAATAGTTGTTGAATCTAGGTAGTGTTTTGGGGTGCTTTTTTTAATGTCCCTTAAACTTTTAAATATATTTGAAAATCTTCAAAAAAAATATTGGGAGAAAACTCACCCCCAATAAATTGACAAGATAAGGACTGTTCTGAGTTTCATACATTTAAAACTCATTAACTTCTCCCTACAGTGCTACAGGGAAGGTACTATTATCATCCTCCCTTTACAGATAGGAAAACTGATGAATAACGAGCTGGAAGTAACTTTCTCAAAGTCTTATAGCTGCTGACCTGTAGCACCAGAGTTGAGCCTTATGTAGTCTGCCTCCTACTGTGCACTCAGAAAACTCCACTTTCTCTGGAAAAATCAGAAGACCTGGCAACACATAAGGCCAATTAATTTTTTTTATATATATTTTTTTTAAAGAGTGAGAGAGAGGGAGAGAGAGAGAGAATTTTAATATTTATTTTTTAGTATTTGGCGGACACAACATCTTTGTATGTGGAGCTGAGGATCGAACCCGGGCCACGTGCATGCCAGGCGAGCGCGCTACCACTTGAGCCACATCCCCAGCCCCAAGACCAATTAATTGACCAGAATCCCTGAAGGCAGAGAATCTATTCCCTATTTAGCCTGCAACTGAGGCCTTTGGGGTTTTGACCCCTGTTCTGACCACAACACAGTGGAAGACACTAAAGTGATGGCACATGACAGATATGTCACAGGTACTTCGACATTGCCCAGACCAACTTGGCTATCAGGCTGACCTCTCATTAGTCGTGAAGGTCCAGTGAGAGGCAAAGTGAGGGGGTAACTTGGACAGGTTGGGAAAGTATAGGACAGAGAAGTAGGAGCCCTAGAATAACTGTCAATAGACAATGGAAAAAAAATTGCAAGAAACAGAAGTTGCGCCTCCCATCGGTGTAGGTAATGTGCTGCATCAGAGGGCACTGGGGTCAGTGCACGAGCACAGGCTAGCATGACCTGGGTTGGAAACCTGACTCCATCACTTACCAGTGTGTGACCTGGCTAAGTTACTTAACTTCTTTAAGCTTCCATTTCCTTGACCATAAAATGGAAGCACCACTTCCAGGTTGGTGAGAAGAATTAAATGAGAGAGAACGTAGAGTATCTTTGGCCCCTGTTAATATAAATAACCATAATACTTTTCTTACTAATCATTAATATTCACATCTTCCTATTTTCCCCTAGAGTTAAGAAGCAAGAAGAAATTGGGAAGCTATGGTAAGTGCCAGATGTTTGTTGGAGCTTCACCTTTCAGTCAGGGTCTTGATTTATTTAGCCTGTAGCCCAAGCAGCTGGCAGACTTGTTCTTATGATTTGTTGATATTTATTGGCAAGAAATTAAATTGGAGTAAGGGGAAAGCAGAGAATAGAAAACAATTTGTGAGCAAACAGTTTTAATGAAAATATTTAAATAAGGTTCCCAACACACAGGAATGTAAATGTTTGAGGAGATGGAAGTGCTAATTGCCCTGATTTGATTATTATTCATTATCTATGTGAATTGAATTATCCTACTATACCCCATAAATACATACAAATATTGTCAATTAAAAGTTAAAAAATAATATGGTAAAAATTGAAAAATACCCTAATTGACTAACAATTCCTTCAGAAAATATTATCGAGTACCTACAATGGTCCAGGCCTGGTACCAGGTGCTAGGAATGCAGATGTGAGCAAAACCAGACACAGCACTTTCTCCTCCCAGCACACCTCTGGAGATGATTGAATGAATGACAGCTCACAATTTTCTGGAATGTTATCTGCCATTATAAAGAAAGACTGCAAAGAATCAATACCAATCTAGTTTTATGTCATAATAGAAGTTCAAAACGCAGGATTCAAAATTGTATTCACAGTATTAGCCATATAAATCATTCATAAGCTACAACTCAATAACAAAAACTGTCGATGTCATAGATCATTCATTACATTCAGCTTTTTTTGTTCTTTTCTAAACATAGGTACTATATAGGTAGGATGAACACTGGAAACATTTTAAGAGTTGATAGTTGTTATTTCTGGCATGTGGGACTTGGAGGGATTTTTTTTCTTCTCTACAATCATCACTAGATTACAAGGTTCCTATAAAAATCATGAGTAGACAGGAAAGAAGCAAATTAAAACACTGTCTCAGACATGCACTGAGCTTCTCTTACCGCATTCATTTTTTTTTCTCTCTTCCCCTGCCCTTGGCGTGTTCAGGGCAGGGTACACAGGCCCCCACCTGGGCCACACAGGCATTGTGAAGGATGTATCAACCGCCACTGCCATGTTCCTGTGGAGCCCAACGTCTCCTGCCTGGTGATAAGCTGCCACCTGCTCTGTGGTGCTACCTTCCACATGTGCAAAGAGGCAGAGCACAAGCTCCTCTGTCCTTTAGAGCAGGTTCCATGCCTCAACTCTGAATATGGCTGCCCCCTTTTAATGTCCCGCCACAAGCTGGCCAAGCACCTGCAGATGTGCCCGGCCAGCGTGGTCTGCTGCTCCATGGAATGGAACCGCTGGCCAAACGTGGACTCAGAAACAATCCTTCATGAGAACATCATGAAAGAGACCCCCAATGAGGAGTGTTTAGATACAGCCCTGGCCCTCCAGGATCAGAAGATTCTCTTCAGATCCTTGAACATGGTAGACCTTTTCCCAGAAACCAGAGATGCCACGGAGGAGGAGCCAACCAGGAATGGTGATGCCAACTGGGAGGAAATGGAAGGAGCAGTGGGAGGACCAGATGCCAGTTTGGTACCACACAACGGTTTGTCAGCACCCAACGGGGAGATGAATGAGTTGAGTCAAGAAGAACGAGAGGCACTAGCCAAGACCAAAGAAGGGATGGACCTGGCCAAGTTCAACAAGTGGGAAAACATGTTCAGCAAAGAACATGCAGCCTCTGCTTTAACTAGTTCATCAGCAAATTGTGAGAGCAAGAGCAGGGATGGTGCAGGGACAGAACAGATTTCCGCCGGCAATAACGTGGTAGAGGGAGAGGCTGCTGCCAACGGCAAAGAACCACAGCAAGACCAGAAGCAGCAGGACTTTTCCGCAGCAATGGAAAAGACAGGCCTTGCCCCCTGGCAGGATGGTGTTCTGGAAAGACTGAAAACAGCTGTAGATGCAAAGGACTATAATATGTATCTAGTGCACAATGGGCGGATGCTCATTCACTTTGGTCAGATGCCTGCTTGTACCCCCAGGGAGAGAGACTTTGTTTATGGCAACCTTGAGGCTCAAGAAGTTAAAACCGTTTACACCTTCAAAGTTCCTGTGAGCTATTGTGGGAAGCGAGCAAGAATTGGGGATGCCATGTTGAGTTGTAGGCCGAGTGAACACAAGGCCGTAGATACTTCTGACTTGGGGATCACCGTGGAGGACCTGCCAAAATCAGACCTCATCAAGACCACCCTCCAGTGTGCTTTGGAAAGAGAACTCAAGGGCCACGTCATCTCTGAATCCAGGAGCATCGATGGGCTGTTCATGGATTTTGCCACACAGACGTACAACTTTGAGCCAGGACCATTTTCCTCGGGGACAGTGCTGGCTGATCTCCTGACTGCTGCCAACCCAGGAGGACTTCATGTAGAGCTCCACAGTGAGTGTGTGACAAGGAGACACAACAAGAGTAGCTCTGCTTTTACTTTCACCTGCAACAAATTCTTCAGAAGGGATGAATTCCCCCTGCACTTCAAGAACGTCCACACAGACATTCAGTCATGCCTCAACGGCTGGTTCCAACACCGATGCCCCCTTTCCTACCTGGGATGTACGTTTGTTCAGAACTATTTCCGTCCCCCAGGACAAAAGGCCAAAGTGATCTACAGTCAGAAGCTCAAGACCTTTGCCATCAAGCCCGAGGTTGCTCCAGAGCTGAACGAGAGCAGGAAGAACAAGCATCTCATAGACCATGGAGGAAAAAGCCAGAACTCTCTAACCAGCCTGCCCCTGGAGGTTTTGCAATACATTGCTGGGTTCTTGGACAGCATCAGCCTGTCCCAGCTCTCCCAGGTGTCTGTGCTGATGAGGAATATCTGTGCCACCCTGTTACAGGAGAGAGGGATGGTCCTCTTGCAATGGAAGAAGAAGAAGTACTCCCATGGAGGCACCTCCTGGAAAGTCCACAGAGAGGCAAGTTAATATGCATTCACTCAGTCAACAAATACTAGTAGAGAGCTTTTTATGTGCCGAGCATTGCACTAGATGATGGGACAGTTGTTAGAATTAAGACTGATTCAAGGAGATCAGTCTATTAAGGGAGACAGACCCTTCTCCACGCTGGTGTGTCCCCAGATTGCTTAACTGGTTCCCTTTGCCCTCCAGCTTCCAGTGGGGCTAAAACCATGGGAGGGAAGGAGGGAGGAAGAACAGGGTTGAAGGATCCACTCTCCTGGTTCCTTCCCTTCATGCCCCTTTGAACTGGCTAAGTTCAGCTAAGATGGCTGCCTCCGGTGGCTCTCCCCACACAGTTACTCATTCTGGGTTCCTATGACAGCCTTCTTCCCCTTCCAGGCCTAGAGGAGTGACTCTGTACTGTTACTAAGGTTGGATACTCTACAGTATCTCATGGCTTTCCTATACCTTGCCCATATATTTGAAATCATTCCTCTTAAAAATTCTCTTAACGTGACCCCCATTTGTGTGTGCCATCTGTTTCCTGCTTAGACTCTGATTAATACAGTAAGGCAACATTCTTCTCAGTCCTATGTCAACTGATTCTTGGTTATTGTTTGTTTTGCAGTGCTGGGCATTGAACCCAGAACCTTGGGCATACTAAGCAAACACTGTGTCCGTGAACTACACCCTCAGCCCTCAATGGTTCTTTTAAGAATAGTTTTTGCCATTGATAAAGGAATTTTGAAATTCTTCATGAATTCAATCTACTGATCTCTCCCCTGGTTCAAATACTTAATTTTTCAGAAAACTTTGTTGTATTAAAGCATCTCTTTCCTTCAGTAAAATTTTTGTTTCTTTTTCTCCATTGGATCATATTTGCTTAGCTGTATTATGACTTCTACAGAAGTGAGACTCCTAATTCATCATATCTAAGTGCCTGTAATGTCCTTTTTTTTTTTTTTTGGTAGCGGGGATTAAACTGAGGGATACTTCACCACTGAGCTGAGCTACATCTCCAGACCTTTTCATTTTTTATTTTTGAAATGGGGTCCCCCTAATTTGCTCAGGCTGGCCTTGAACTTGTGTTCTTCCTCCCTCAGTTTCCCAAGGAGCTGGGATTACAAGTGTGTGTTGCTACACCTGGCCTGTAACGTTCTTTCTCATAGTAAATATGGTGGTAATACGAACCAAGAATGACTAATACCTATTTAGGTAAATAATTCTATAATATTACTGTTGCAGTTCTTCCTAATAGGTGGGTGTTTAAGAGCTGCATTGGGGAATTAGAAGTGTTTGCATCTATTTTTGTTGACTATATTTAAAATGTGTATTTCCATTATTGATCACCTAGACAGTCTTGTTCAAACATAATTATAAGACTCTATCTTACGTATCCATGCCTACATCCATGTGCTAAACACTGACTGTCAACCACATGCTAAGGATAAATAGTGAATGAGATATTGTCTTTTGAAAAAGTGTTGTCTAAAACTACCTATTATCTTCCTCTACAAAACAGATGCAAATAATTTAATTTGCATACTAGAAATTACATTTTTCTTTTTTGGGGGGGGGGTGGGAGTGGGGAGAGGTAGGTTTCAAGTTTGTTCCTAATTCAATGATTGCTGACCACTCTTGGATATCATTTGGGACAAACTAATTTGCTTGCAGAAAAGAATAAAGAGAATTTAGTTGGGGCTAAAGGATATTCACATTAAAATGGCTTTTGGGGTAAAAAGGGAAATAATTCCAAGATCCCAAGAAATAGTTTATTTTTGCACAGGAACAAGACAAAACACTGAGGGTGAAGTAGTCAGGCTGAAAGGGTACCAGGTGCCAAGGGTGCCAAGCCTTTTAGCCACATTTTAAAACTAGTAGCTTTGCCACCACCTCCCAGCTGGAAAGACCAGAGAGTGTTTTATTGAGTACTGACTCAACTCATAGAACTCTCCATTGAGGTAAGACCTTAATTTAGTTAGAATACTTCTAATTTCAAGCAGGTAGAAAAGCAATTAAAAGTACCTTAAACAGTAAATGGAATTTATTAGCCTATATAACTCAAAAGTCCTTAGCTAATAGTTTCAGGTAAGGCTTGATTTAGCAACTCAAAAAATTCCCCAATGTTCTTTTTACTTTCTGTTTCTTTGTTTCCTCAATATTGGCTCCATTCTAAGACAGTTCACTGGTGGTCCCTGGAGACTGCTGACACCTCCTAGGACTACAGTTCCCAGTTCAAGTACAGAAGGAGAAAGAGAATCTGCTTTTTGAAATCTCAAACAAAAGTGCTGGGGTAGAATCCCATTGGTGCTAATTGTCCTGATTTAAACTGGGTCTACTCTAGAACTAATGGTTGCTAGTGGAAGGACAGGGGAAGGTAGGTGTATGTCAATATGCTGATCTGTGTCAGTCATTCCCACACAACTGCAAGGCTGTCTGGGAAGATTATTAATTGGAAGGGGGAAGCTTAAATTGGACTCTGGGGAAGAAACTAACAAAAGTCAAATGCCACTGAACTCTCTGGAAGGAAGTAGAGAGAGGCGTTTCCTTATCCTGTTCAAACACAGCCAGCCTGGGGGTGTTGCCCCAGGTTTATCTGTAAGTTTTTCCCTTTCTCCACAGATCTGGCAGTTCAGCAGCCTCTTCTCCCAAATCAAGAGCTGGGAGTTTAATGAAATCACCTCCATGTCTGAGCACCTGAAGGCCTGTCCTTTCAACATCATAGAGCACAAGACTGACCCGATTCGTTTGACCAGCATGTGTCAGCCCCGTGAGCAGACCCAAGAGAGCTTAGTCTCCACCTTTAGAACTAGACCACGAGGAAGACACATCTAGAGATTTGGATGGCATCATTCTTGAATTTTTCCTTGGAGTGATTGAAAGCAGGACTGAGAATGGTTTGAGAAATCCCTGCTGTAACTGCATATTCTGCTTCATTGCATGTATTGGAACATATGATGTCTTTCAAAACCTCAGCAATTGTACTAGATCTAAGAATTTCCTAAGCGATGACTTATATGATAATGCCACACTGTGACTTACTTTTCTTTTTCTTTTTTCTAAAATAGATAAGTCTGAGGAGAGAATAAGTAACTGAGGCTATTTGGAAAGGAATACAAGTCTTTAGGAAGTGAGAGAGCAATGAAATTCCATAACCAACATAAGCCATGATTTTACACTGGGCTTTTTGGTTTACAAAACTTGCATATTGGCAGGGCAGACAGTGCATGGACAGTAAGTTACTTCCTAGGGTGCAGAGTTACCTCCCAGGGTGCCAGGGTGGAGGGCATCCAGCTCTAAGGTTCTGAAGCTGGGCCTGTCTTGACAGCCAAGTTCAGGGTGACTTTTGGTGACCCTGATGCCTCTAAACCCAAGTAGTCCCAATTCAGCCTGATTGAACAGAGCCCCCTGGCTGAGCACAGCAGCCTGGAGGATACCGCAGGCCAAAAGGTAAGGACAGTAATGAGGTCACCGAGTCTCTTGTGTAGATTCTTACCAAGGTATAGAAAGGAAGCCTTGAAAAACGAGGGAGAGTCCAGAGGAGACTCTGTATTTTCAAAGAAAGGACAAAAGCCTCAAGCCTACTTTTTAACGTTTTTAATAATGATTCAAGAGTCAAGGTTGTTTTTTCCTGAGACGTATATTATAGGTCTGGGTGAAGGAGAGCATAGGCATAGCTCAGTGCCACCCTATGTCTGAAATGACCTCCATACATGATGCCAACCTCAGTGTCATGCCAGGACACACAGGGAAGCTGAGGAGACTTCGTGTTGGGTAAAGTCCAAACAAGACCCCCCACAGTTCCTGTGGTACCGGCCCACAGGTACCATACACCACTTGGATAGTCCACTGGGGGCCCTGGAGAGAAAGACATATGAACACAGTGGTTCCTTGGATTGCCCCAAGCTTGCTGGTCATTCCTCCAGCCTGTCAAAAACAGATGCTACTGCTGTTTTTGGTAACAAACCATGAATATTCACAAGCACATAAGTAGAGGGAAAAGTCCCCAATAAACTTGCAATCCCTAAAGCCGAGTTTCCTAACCTTGGAACTCCTAGCCACTTGGAACCTGGACTAGCTTCACTACTGAGCTACCTCCCCAGCCCCTTTTCATTTTGAGGCAGGGTCTCACTACGTTTCTGGAGCTGGTCTGAACTTGCGATGCTCCTGCCTCAGCCTCCCAAGATGCTGGGGTTACAGGTGTGCACCACTGTGCCTAACTGGAACTATTGACATTTTGAAGTGGATAATTCTTTGTCATAATGGACTATTCTATATATTATAGGGTATTTAGCAATACCCTTGGCCTCTATTAAATCCACCCCCCCACTCCACAGTAGCACTCACACAGTGAACAGCCAACAATGTCTCCAGATATTGCAGAATGTCCTCTGGGAGCAAAGTGGCTCCAGGCTGAGAACCACTGTCCTAAGGAATATCATAACAGTTAGTTTAAGTTTGGATATGCTTATTTTTCAGTACAACAGAATCTTGTTGCACATAGCCATCCACAATGGCTGTGGTTTAATGCTGCCCTTATGTATCTACTAAATAGGTTTTAGATGTCAGGTGATATTAAGTCAGAAACCAGATGGATCCAATTGTTTGATATGGCTACATGTCCCCGGGCCACATGGAAGAATATGTATTTTCTGCTCTCTCCAGTTATATCCAGGAAAGTTATTTGTCTTATGTTTATGTCCTTCTTACCTTAATCAGTGCCATTTTCCAAGCAGTTGAGTTTCAAGCAAGTGAGAAATAGGAAAAAGGGAGGACAGAACAAAAGGGAAGCAGAGAAAGAATTCACCCAACAAAAGAAATTGGCTCATTCATCTGGGTGCTTGTTTTGACTGGGTCGCCCCAGTTCAGAAATGCTGTAGATCACACCTCTGAGAAGAGTCAAGATGGTGGTAGAGCAAGCCCCAAACCAGAAATATGCTCATCTTTCATTATTATGTGCCACTTGGTACTATTTGGTAACGTAATCTCACTTTTTCTAATGCTTATTGTTTGATTTATATTTCACATTTATATATGTCATTGTTTTCTAAAAATATAACTAGAGTGTGATCTAAGGCTTTACTCAGTGAAGATGAGTAACCAGAAGCAAACTCTGGATGTCAGGTGTGGGAAAGAAGAAAGGAAGAGAGTTCTCTGGGTGTCAGTTACATGTGTTTGGAATCTGGTCCTTCTTATGTGGAGGAATAATGCTCCCAAAGCCAGGATTTCTAATTAGAAAAAGAGAGAAAGAGGAACTACGGACAGAGGACGATGAGTCAGGGCCGTGGTTGAGGAGCAACCACAGAGGCATGAAGAGAGCAGAAGGCTTTCCCTCCACAGCGCGGGTGGGCGGGGCACGGGTTCAGGACACGCCCCCTGGTGGGGTGCGGGGCGCTCCTTGAGGCACTTTCCTCTCCCACATGCTCCCTTCAGAACAGTACTGATTTGGTCAACATCATCAAACACATTTATAAGATAATGGTCCATATTGCAGGAAACCAGGGTACTGCTGGTATCCCCGGGTTCCTAGAGGAGAGAGCAGAGGCAGCAGGAGGGGACCTTATCAGAGAGGCTGTGGGGAGACAGGTGATTGATTAGTGAGGTGAGGCTGTAGTGAGCAGCAGGAGCAGGGAGCGCCTAAGGAAGAGGAAAGACAGCTAGACATGACTTCAGAGTAAGAAGCACACGAGGTGGGCAGAGAGGGCTGTGTCACAGGAATAGAGCCTCAACAGAGCCCTTGATGAGCATCACAGCCCAGAAAGGCAGACCAGGGCAGAGACCAGCTGAATGTGGAGGGCAGGGTCTGTAGAACTGGGCCAGAAAGGACTGTTGCCTTAGCAGCACAGGGATCTAGAAAAGAACTTTTCTCCTCTTCTGAAGGGAACAGTGAAAAAGCAAAGTGGAACTTGGAGATGGATCAGGAAAACTGCTGTAAAAGTCTGCCTTCTGTGTGAAATCAAATCAAACTGAAATGAAGAATGATATTGTGTACATGTGGTAACCTATTGCTATATACTGGAAATCCCAGTGTCTCTATAGGAGGAAATAAAGGCTGCTTTGCACTCACCTTTGAAAGGTTAAGGTGTGTGAATCTTGTGAGTTATATCTAGAGACAGTTTTGTGATTTGCTGGCATAGAAGTCATTATCAAAACTAAGGATCGTGTGTCTTGAAGAAAAGTCAAGAACAAGTTTGAAGCATGCAGCTCTCTAGGTGCCCCCGCAGCTCACCAATTCTGATGAAGTCCTGGAGCAACTGTGGATCTCAGCCACTAATCCTAGTTCCTCCTCCTCCTCCACCCCAATGCCTTCTCCCTCTGTGAAAGCTGGACTCAACTTGGATGCTGGTAACAGCATAGATTCTATGTCCTATCAACCAAAGATCATCTACACCAAATACCCCACTTTGTGCCCTCAAATCTTCTGTCTCTGACCTTTGCTGAGGCTGAGCACAGTAGTCTGGGGCTGAGAAAAACCCATCTTGCCCTGACCTTTGAATTTCTCTCATCCCATGGTTTGCTTGGCGATTCACTTTTTGTCCACAATGGCCGTCCACATGTCCTTACCCTCTTTCCTATCTGCCTCGGCTCTGGGCCATTCAGAAGTTTCATGTACTTCCTCCATCCAGCCTGCTACAAGGAGGCCACTGTCTCTGGATCTAAATCCTCTTCAGCCTCACTACAATTTGTTTTCCTTTCCTTTCTCCTGCTTTCTATCCTCTAGATTGAGCTTCTTCCTCTACAAACACCACATGGAAAGAGTGTGTCGTTACTCCCAGGCAGGTGGCTGGCCTGGCACAACTGCTAAAGCTGGTAGAAGTTGATACCACCTTAACGTGGATACCACCTGGCCCCCTGTCATCCCACCTTACCACCATTCTCAAGATCACCTGTTTTGGACCGGGTGTAAGGGAATAGGAAAATGCCTCGCCCTTGAATCTAGAGTGCTAGGAATAGGCAGTGTTAAGAGTGGGTCTTCTGGATGTGCCTGGAAGGGGGTGGGAAATTTAGAGCCATGAGAGCCAGGACTGCACAAGAAGTTTTATTTTCCTCAGCACAGAGGTGCACAGTAGTCCCACTTTATTTCCAACTTTAGGACTGAACAGAAAAAAATCTCAGAAATATCTCCGAAGGAAAGAAAAGTGGGCAAAAACACAACCATGTAGAATAGACCCACCTTCTCAGGTAAGCAAACCAGGAAGCCCAGTGCTTACAGGGAATAGATCAGAGTTGGGGGTGTCATTATAGGGGGCATTACTGGGGAAGAAGGCAGGACCACAATGTAAACATCCATGAGCTATTCCAGGACACAGAGGACACTGAGGGGAAGGAAACCTCCTTCCTCATGCTGTTTCGGCCTGAAGCCCTAATGAAACAGGAGAGGGAAGTCTGTCCAGAACCTCAGGTAACCCAAGACTTCCTGTTAGGCACTTGCAGCAGGAATGGGGATGGGATGGAGGCAGAGCCACTTTGGACATGGGGAGTCACAGCTGTAGTAGATAGTGAGGTCAGTCACTGGAGGAGCTTGACATAATTTGCAGGGAAGAGTCCAAAGTGGCCGTGGCAACGTCCCCGCCACCAGCCCTCATCCACCATCTCAATGTCAGTAATGATGTCATCCGGATCAAAGGAAAGCTCATCACTTCCCTCTGGGGAGGAAATGGAGGGGATATTAGGATGGTCAAACAGGAATCCTGCCATCTCTCCCTGAACTTACTCCCAGGAAAGAGGCCTGGCCTTTGTCTTGGTGGCAAGACTGGGCCTTTCCCTGACCCCCAGAATCCATCCCCTTCCTGTGTATCAGAGGTCTCAGGCCACTCCCAACCTACCTCCTTGGTAGTCATACAGGGCAACAGCTGAGATCCCCATAGCCCCAGCCCCAGCTGGGCTGCCTGATGGTCCTGCATGATGAGAAATATACACATGGTCTCACCAACAAGGAGAAGGCAGAGACAGATCCTCCTGGGCAGTGGGGAAACGCATCCTCCTCTTCTCCCACACCTGACAAAACTGAGGAGTTGCTTCTCCCCCTAACCATACCCCACTCACCAGCCAGGGTGGAGGGAACACAGGGATCCTCAGGCTCCAGCACATCCTCATAGTCCCCCTCTGGATCATTATCCTGCTCCTGCTTGTCCATCTCCCCAACATCCTCATAGTCATTCTCAGGCTCAGGCTCTGCTTCATATATTGGCTCTTCCACCACCTGGAAGCCTTCTGGAGTTCTAGGAGGCAGAGCTGGGGGCTCCTCATAGTCCTGAGAAAAGACAATGTGGAGCAGGGTCACTTGCACTCACCAGGAGGAGTCAGTGGAGACCCCACCTGCACCACCACAGTCTGTCATCCATCTTCATCCTGCAACCTCCTTCCATACCCAGTCACTCAGAACACCTACCAAGAAACAACAGGAGGGGAATGTAAAAGGAATAAAGGCAGGAAAGTGGAAGGCAAGTCAGAGCCTTTGGAAGCCCAGGGAAACTCTGAAGCAAAAGCACATCGTTGGGATAGCATAAGATAAGCAGCTGTCCTAGTTTGTCCAGGATTGGGAATCTTCCAGAATGCAGGACTTTTCACCACTCAAACCAGAACTCCACCTGGGACTCCAGGTGAAGCAGGGTGTTTGGCCACCCTATGCAACCCACCTCCCTGGGGCAGAGAGTCCTCGGGGCCCTGCTTACCTCCGGGGGACTCTGCCTCATGGGCAGGGAAGGCACTGGGTGTTCTCTGCTAGTTCTCACAGGCTCGGGCTCTGGTGCTGGATGACTCTGTGCTGGAGGCCAGGCCTACGGAGAACGAGCACCCACCACCTTCACTCACAATCACCAGGCACACCCGTCCTGCTCTCTGCCAATCCAACTAGAACTCATTGCTCAAGATGAGCCCCAGCCTGAACTGGCTCCTTCCTCTTGGATGACTGGCTGCAGTGGCTGGTGGCCTGCCCTTCATTGTACTACATATATCTTAGTGTTCACTTGTTTGTTTTCTGATGTTTCTGACATACGAGTATCAACTACACAGATGACTGAATCTTCCTGGGGACAGGAACAGGACTCTGCCTACACAGGGAAGACCCAGGCCTTATTTTCTTGCCATCCTTTGGACCCCTCAGGTTCTGTCTGGGAAAGAGATTCCAGGCGAGGATCCTAGAGGGCCAGGCTCACCTCTGAGGAGATTTTCTTGGGCAATGGGGCTGGCGCTGCTGGCTCTTCTGCGGGAGCCACTGGCTGCTGAGCCTCTTGTCTCATCTTCACCACAGCCTTGCGCTCCTGTTGCTGCCTGGCCACCTGCTGTGCCTTCTCCTCTTCCTCCTGCTTCCTCTTCTCCTCAGCCATGGACTCAAATTTTGCCTTCAGCCCACGGGCACCACTGGAAGCTGTACACAGGCAAGAAGAATTAGGGTTGACATGGACGGGGAGTGGAGGAAAGGGTGGCGTTTGAAGGAAGAAGAGGAATCAGTTTTAGATATCCAGAAGAGAAGATGGAGAGGGGACTCATGGAGGGAGAGAGAAAGAGGTGGTGATGGAGGAACAGAGGGGTACAGGAGGATGGTTTGGACTCAAAGCCCAGATTTCCATCTAGCCATTCGGTGTGACCTCAGACTCTTGTCCTTTCTAAATTATAAGCCTTGGTTCCCTCAGTAGCTCACTCTCCTCAAACATGTATGCCCTCTAGCCACCAGCATCTTCTGCCCATCCCAAGCTCCTACCCCTGCATACCCTTCCCAAGTACTTCTCCCTCCCTCCCCCTGTGTTCTCTGCCCCCAGTTCCCTCCCTAATGCCACTCTATCACTTGACCTGGTTTTTCTAGGAGACAGATCTGGGAATATGAAGCTAGGGATCAAGCCTCCCTCAGATAACCTCTGCAGTTAAAGGCATGCAGGAGATAGACTGCGGAGGAGAAAGAGGAAGTTGACGATCATAGAGGAAACTGAGACTCACCGGCTTCTACGGGTGTCGTCTTCTTATAAGCTGTGGTTGGGGCCTCCATCTCATTGAAGCCAACAGCACTCTGTAAATTGGGATAACAGTTTGTGCAGGTGGGGAGGGACAGGATGGCAGTGACTCAGAAGGCAGTACTGGAGATTGGGCCCACTGTAGGAAGTAGCCCTTAACCATGTGGGTCTTAACACTAGTACAAGGTCCTATTATTATTTTGTGGCAGAGAGAGTTCTAAACAGGTAGGTTTGGTGGCTCCCTTTGAAAGCTTAGTGTACTTTGGATCACATGTCTTGAGCCTAGAATGCAGCAGGGTCCCTGGCCAATGCAGAAGGAGCTAGTGCATGGAACAACAGTGACGTGGACTAGGAAGAGATAAAAAGGAGTGGGTTAAGCAATGCCAAGCAATCCACGAAACTGCACAACTAACACCACCTTTCCCTAGGATTCGTTTCTCCTCTGTCTCTCCTTGCTGCACTCCACTGTCTTCGCTTAAAGCTCAAACAGGTTGTGACCTCATGTCCATCAGATGCTGAAGGCAGTCAATGGGGAGGGCAGGATCCCAGCAGGACAGGCTCAGAGCACCAGCATCACTGTCCCAACCTTCTCCCCACTTTGCTTTGAACTCTTCTCTCTACTTCCCTACACGTAGGGGACCCTTCTCAGGACACTGGTGTTCTGGCGCGTTACCTTATCCACTCGGTCCTTCTGGATTCCATACTGACCACCAAAGCCCTTGGCGTAATCTGTGGGACAGGAAGTTCTGAGAGTCACTATAGGAGATTAAAATGCTGGAGATAGGTGGGGAAATGGAGCCGTGGGAAGAAGGACCAGAAGACAGGAATGTGGGACACAGAGACACAAGAGGAAATGTGAGATTCAGAGGATAGAGAGAGGCATGGGTGGGAAAAGAGGGGAAAGGATGGGGGGAAAAGTTCAGAGAGAATGGAGAAGAGAGAAATGGAAACAGGGAAACAAAATTAAAGAAGTTTCAAAATAATGGGAAACAAAACAAACAAAAAAGGAAAAAACAAGGAGAGCTCTCCAGCTACCACTGCACGGATCCAGGGAAGAGAAAGACTATGAGGCAGAAGGGGATGAGAGACACATAGCCAAGCCACTGTGTGGCCATCGCCCAGCCTGTCTCC